TGGAAACCTGCCTTAGCTTAGTTTAGTTTTGAATAAGATAGGAAACAATTCTGCATTCAGGGAAAATTCAAACTTCTTACATAACTGGGGCTTTTGAGCATAATGGAATCAGAAGACAGAAAAAAAAATGCAGTTCTATTCACTTAAGAGCTAAGAAGTGCAAAAACCCATTCCTGATTTACAGAAGTCCAAGGAAGTCTAACTGATAGCCTTCCTTCAAAAATGTCTACTAAACTTGCAAGTGAATGTAGAAGTAAGGGATACGATATACCTCAGTAGGCTCAAAATAATAAAGAAATAGGAAGCTACATTTATAAACTGCTCCAAAGAAGGACAAAACTCTTCGAACAAAGATTCTGAAGCTATGAACTTTGTTGTTGTTTTGGAATGTGCTTTTTTACTCCCTTGCTCTCATCCATCTTACAGCTTTTGATCCAAGTCCACTACAATCTCTGCTGTTGAAGCAATCTCCACTGTTTAGCGGCTGCCACTTTATGCTGATACTTACACAACATACTTGAGCAGCAGAGCTTCTGGGTAAGAAAAATTAAAGGAAAGCAAAACATCATCTAGAAATAACTCGTGAAAAGACTAGGAGATAAAAAAAAGTATTTAATATACAGTCTTACATGAAAGAACAGTAAGCATTCAGAAGTTGAAACTGATCAACTCACAAGAAACAGTTCCTTACATATGCAAGTTACACTTGAAAAAGGGGGAGTTTCCTTGGAGAGAAGAGGACAAGGACACCCAAAAATCTCAACTCCCTCTTTAAACCACCAGTAAGAAGAGCTGTAAGCTGTAGGCCAGTATCACAGCTATTGTTTCATTAAGTACAATACCCACCTGACACTACTTTGCAGTGTTACTACAGAATTAAATCTGTGCACCATAAAACAAAGACTACAACTCCTACATATTTTGCTCCCTTTTGTAGACACATGAAAACTATTTTAATACACTAAATCCAAATCAATCTTCTCACTCTTCTAAGTGGGTGACATGAACAAAAGTAGTTCCTGGAACTGGAATTATTTGGTAAAAAGGCTCTGATGGAGATTTAACAATGTAAATCTATGTAAGCCATTCACAATAGGACAGTAACCATGGCACAGTTTGAATAATTAATGTATTACTAGCACTTAGAAGTACTATATTTAAAAAAAAAAAATATTTGTGCTGCTGAAAAATAAAGTGCTGCTTCCAGTCACCATCAGCAAGCTCCTCTTTTAGCACGAAATATGTATGCAAAATAAAAATTAGCAAAATTTTATAGAAAAACAAATTTCCTGGTTAAGCCATCATGAAATTAGTATGCATATATATTGACCTGTAACAGCCAATTTCAACTAACCGACTTAAAGAAAACAAGACAAAAACCCTAAGCAATACAAAAGTGTTTATAAATAACTTATCTACTAGAGATCACACAACTACACTAATAAATTGTTTAGGTATCACTAGGTTGGCCATTACAGTAACAATCCATGCAATCAAATTTTTAACGTACAACATCAGCATGAACAAGAATGCTTCAGGAAGAGAAATCCCCACGCAGAAAATATTTTTATCATCTGTAACTAAACCAAGTAACTGGTAACTGCATTAAACTTGATTACAAGACATTTTTTAAAAGTAGTCATACTGAAAAAATCAAAGTTCAACAAGTTAGGGAAAAGATACAGAAAGAAACTTTAAACAGGAAAGCCTAATACTGCAGCCTTATGAGAGGTTCCAATTCTGGTTGTCATTGCACTTACCATTTATGTCCTTCTTTTATACTGAACAGTAAAAAGGGATAGGATATAAGTGAAGGAAGCTTACTTGTCAAAGCTTTTAAGAAACAAAAACAAGGATTAGAAACAATTGCTATTTTCCTTCTAAACACGTGGTTGGCAGAAGACTTTAGTATGTTATAAGGATTATGCCAAAAGAGTTTATCAAGACCTGATATGGTAAAAACTGTCCAACAGTATCATAAAATGCAATTTTCACCAGGAAGCAACTTTTAAACTCTTAAAGCAGAGAATAAATTTTTCAGTGTATGTACAACAGTAATCTGAGACTAGAAGTAATAACCAGATGGAGTCTGTTCACCGTAAACAAGTATTAGTAAGAATAAATAAAAAAATTTAGTTGTACACAAAATTCTACTAAATTGAAAAAAGATTTGATGTATCATTTTGCAATCTCCAGAAATGGTTTACACTGCTGCAAAATACAAAGGCTTTTTCAAACTCCCATTCACTCTATACAACTTAAGTACAGTTATCTAAAGACGTTATAATGAATGCCTATAAAATGATAGGCCATGCTTAGAGTTACATAGCTGCCCTTATTAGAAACAGTTGCTAAAGAGAGTAAATACATCACTTCCATTTTTGTTTCAATTCTTCTTCTTCTGAAGTTCAAAGGACAGCAGAAGTAAAACATAAGTCAACACATGACCAGAATACTAAAGAATAGTCTGAAGACTAGAGAAAATGTTTTTTTAAAATTACTGTATATGCCACTTCAGCTTTGCATGATATTAAAAAAAACCAACACCTCTACTATATATTCCTTTGTATAACATGTAACACTTTTGGTAGGGTTGCACTGCAGAGATACATCTATACATTCTTGCAGTGCATTAATTACTTGCAGATGAACACACAATTCCAGCAATGCAACTCAGCACAGCAGAAGTAAAACATAAGTCAACACATGACCAGAATACTAAAGAATAGTCTGAAGACTAGAGAAAATGTTTTTTTAAAATTACTGTATATGCCACTTCAGCTTTGCATGATATTAAAAAAAACCAACACCTCTACTATATATTCCTTTGTATAACATGTAACACTTTTGGTAGGGTTGCACTGCAGAGATACATCTATACATTCTTGCAGTGCATTAATTACTTGCAGATGAACACACAATTCCAGCAATGCAACCCAGCAGGAAAGCTACACTCTTCCAAAGCATTCTTCCACCTTTACCTTGCCTCCCACAAAATTTTCATTGTATAAAAGTCGCAAAAATTATGCACAGTGATTGAAGTGCTTTCCATTTGAACCATTCCTCTTCCCTTCTTACACTACATCTTTGCCATGTCCAGCACACCAACTTCAACAGTTTCTGTTCACACACACTTCGGAATTTAAAGATGCAGATAAGCATGAGGATGGCCAAACTGTGGCAAGCAATTCAAGCACAGAGGCTAAGTAACATTACCTCAAGACAGTTGCAAGAAGAAAATCAGCAGAGGTTGCTGTGGCCAACATTATCTAGTTTTCCCAGCACCCCAAGCTGCAGGGTATAGGCCACAATCTCCTAACAGCAGTGGAATCTGAGGGAGCTACTGCCATCTCAAGCCTGTGGGTTGGCTCCCCAGCTGCAGCACTCTGCAGCAAGTAGTATGGGTCTCACAGAGCAGCCACAGGAGAGTTTTGACAGGTAGTTTATAGGGTCAGAAAGTCAGGCTACCCCAAAAGATGCTACGTGAAGATATTAAGGTGAAATGAGATTTCGTATTTGGCACTACAGAAGTCACAATCAGTAAGTGCTATTTCTAAATTACATCAGACAATTGTTATGTGCTATTTCACAAAGTATGTTTAATAATATGTGGGAACACACTAAAGGACGTTATGAGTTTTGAATTCTTGATCTTCATCACCCCAAAGAAAATACATGCTGAAAGCAGTTTTCTTTTACAGTGTGAGCACATACGGAAATAAATGACTGATTGTTTTCTGCTGCAAGTTTCTCAAAGCACAATCAGCAAAATTAACTGATAGCTGTTAGTAACGTCAAAGGAACAATTTCACTTCCTCCCCATCTTTACTAAAAACACTAAGGGGCAGAGGATGGGAAAAAAGATATCCTGCTGAGAACAGGAAATCTTTTATTTTCTAAGTTCTCTTAGGATGTCTCAGAACATACATAATATATTCTTCTCAACCCTATAGAAAATGTTACGGTATAGAATGTGAAATAGGTATTTCTTCCACAAAACACAAAATCAGAAAATAGCTGAGACACCAGCAGTTTATTTTTGATTAATGTATGAAGCTGTACCTGTAAAGGGGAGCAAAATTCCCCCCTGCAGACTACAGTTGTTATAATAATGTAAAAGACCATTGTGTGGATTGCTTATTCATTGCTTCCTCACTAAGAATAGCTGTAAAAGTAAAAGGTATCCTTCTCACATGAAACTAAAGCATTCACAATACAGTTGCATTGATTTAACTGCTTTGGTTGGTAGAAGAAAAATCATACCCTTGACCAAAACAGATCATCATGAAAATTTAGAAGCTGACTCCTCTGGTACCACCATTTTGCTAGTCCTGCAGGATGAGTCTTCAGAGGCAGAACATGCCTAAATTACTAATATAAATAACATAAAACTTATAGCAGAGGACCATTTTTTTCCCACCTTTATAATCTTTCGGTCTCCTTTAGTAAAGATTTTGAGGTTTTCCTCATCTAGTTTTGCAGAAGGGTCAAAGGGGTGAGTGATTTTAGGCTCCATCTGAAGATAACACTGCCCATTTGGTTTCTGAAGTATATTATTCTTAGTAAGTTAAGCATAAACCAAAACAAGCAATTCAAACAAGCTTAACAGCCTGAACTGGTTTAAAATTTAAACCTTCAGTCAAACTAGGGCACCTTCTTATGGAAACATCATTTATTCCCATTTATTCTCACTTCGAAAAATTCTATTTTTTTATTGGAAAAATTCATTTCCTGAATAAAAGGCAAATTATTATCTGAACACCTTCACTTAACTGAAATGTCACATCACCAGCTTGTAGGAAAACTAACAGTGATGCCATCATACAAGAGAATAACTACACTACTAAATTTGTACCACTCCACTTATGAGAACGATGGAATACTGAAGGAAAAACAGTAAACAAGAAGGTGGCAGCTCAATAGCTAGTATATAAAAATATTACAATTAAAAAAAAAAAAATCTTTTACAATTTGGACTTCCGTCATAGAATTTTACTTACATTGTCCATGAAATTTGGCTTAAATCCTCCCTCCTGCTGTCGTCGTAATTCCTCCTGTTCCCTCTGACGTAGCATCTCTTCTTCACGACGTCGATGTTCTTCTTCATGTCTAGAATATTTTTCAAAAACTAGGTCAACTTAGACTCTTGAACCTGTTCAGGCTTGTACTCAGTCTCAGGAGATAAGATCAAGCATATAAACAAATCTGGTAATTATTTTTATATAGTGTAAGGCACTAATCTACTGCACCCGACGGGTTTGAATATTATTGAAGTCTGTTTGTTTGAAACTGGAAGACAGGTGACTACAATACCAGTACATTCTATACCTGTTCTTCCAGCTACATATTGGTAAGCAGGTTAAAGTACTCCAGTTTTTAACAACTCACTATGGATTAAAACATTTCAATACTGCCAAAAGACACATTTTTAACTCTGTGAGGTGTCTGCGTTTTGTTCTTTTTTTCTTATCTACATTTCCTGTGATATTTAACATAAAAATTATAAACTCAATCAACATGATTATACTATGTCTGTTTTCTTAAATTTTAGCAGAGGCAAATATTTGTATGAATCACATCTTAGAGGAAAAACTGTTCGCAACATACCAGAATATCAAGTGAAAATAACTGCAAAAAATCTCATGTCAGACTATATATTTGCAATGCTACTACTCCACATGCAGATCACCTGCCCATAAATCTTAGAAGCACGTTCATATCTATTACAGCAATGCTTCAGTCACAAGGTTAAAATAAATCATATGAAACAAAAAATTTATGTTAAGACACTTCTACACTATTTAGAAAGCTCAGAAATTTACAACAGAACTAGTAGAGCTGAAATTAGTGAAAAAATTGAAGAAATACTTGAAACCATTCTTTTATATTAGCATAAGTGGTCACTTTTCTGTTCAAGAACATTAACAGAAACGTCACACGTTATGCTTTGGAAAAGCAGCTTTTTAGCAGCAGAAACATTTTTATTTGCTATCAAAAGCAAGCTCTACAAGCTACAGTATCTCAATTCACACAGCCCTACAGCAGCAGCATGCCACACCTTTGCACAGTAGAAGACAAAATACCTCAATTGTATCTGCTTGCGCTTCTGAAGTTCTTGATTGCGAAGTTCTTCCAAACGTCTCAATTCTTCTTGACGTCGCATGAGATCTAACAGGATTAAAAATGTAATAAGGATAAAAGCTGCCAATCAGCAATGTGGCAACACAAAAAATTGCTATTACTGTCAGATTAGAGTTCTAATATTAAATTTTTAAAGAATTTTCTCAGCACATTTAACTAGTTTCTTCCCATAAAGTTAAGTCTAGTATATGAAAGAAACCACATGGGATCCACGGCTCACAGAAACACAGAAAGGTACAGAACTGGCAAAGCCTCCAAAGCATGTTATGGAAACAGAAATCTGAAGTCCTCAAACAAAAAAAAAAGGAGAAAAAACGCTCAATCACTTAAATCACATCCTGGTTTTACATCTAGGGCAAGGCATCAATTTTCTCACAATGCTGTGTACTGCTAAAAGCACACTAGCAAGAGAACTAGTATAATATATATGAGCTTATACTCTCCACTACCTTTTGCAGACCACTGCATGGCACACATCAGAAAAGTGGTATGAACTTCAGGTGCACGTAATCTGAGCTTCCACAGAGATTTATCACATGACTCTGCTTATAGCGACTTACAAATGACTAATCTGTAACACTACCAGAAAGGAACAGCTGTATCCTCTTAAAAAGCACTTAAAATGCTCTTAAAAAGCAGGGCCCAGCTAATAGTAATTACTTTTGCTGTGCTTCTGACCAGTCACATTATTGATTTTTGCCTGGAAATTTATGCTTTCTTCAATGAATATTAATTCTACCTTTTGTTAGAATGCAGCTGTTTGCCCTTTCTGTCTTCATAGGATACTGGCCACATGACGTTATTTACAGACACCATGAGGAACATTCCACTACACCGCCCCTTATATGCTTTTTGTGCTTTAGTTCAACTACTCCACACATTTCTCTATGCATTTCCTCACTATTCTAAGTAAAGCATCTTTTTAGCTATGCAAATCGCTCTCCTCAAACTTGCATTTACATATATTATTACAACATAACCTTTTACTTTAGTATTCAAAAACAACTACAATGACCAGTACATTTCACCAAAATATCGTGTATTTGGGTTCTTTTCTAACAAAGAAGATTATCAGATTTGTACTCTCACAGCATCCCTATTGACATTGGGAGTCCTTTCTCAAGCACACTTTGCAGGCTTGCTTTTCCAATCTCTTTGCAAAATGAACACATTTCACACTTCAATAGAATACGATTACATTGAAGATTCACTCAAATCACAAAGTCTGAGGGCTGCTTCTTTGCAACAGTGCTTGCCATTGCAGGCTTGGCCACTGTTATCCTGATACTCAGGGAGCACCACAAGCACACTTTTTTTAAAATAAGCTTTAGATTATTTCAGAGTACTACTGAGATCAAGAATTGACCCATTCTACATTGAGTGTTGTCCACTGTTGGAAAAGTAATTTCCTTGTCAGTTCTTTGTTCTTTCAAATTTATGTAGCATTCCCTTTTTCTTGTGTTAATGCACAAGAAAAAATTAATTTTTTCCACAGCACAGCTCTGATTACTGCCTTTCCTGAAATTGTTCATATTTTGAAGTTCAACATACCAATTTATGATCCAGTACCATTTGACAATGGCAGAGTATTGACACAAAGCCTTACTAGCAAGATGAAAATACAGATCCAGAAGTTCAGGCTGTACACAGACCCATTCATATTAAAAGATCTGCAATGATGGTAATTCTGGACTGACATATGTTGGACACAGGCCCTTTCTCTGAATAGAAAAAACCTGCACTAAAGCAGCTGTGAAAGAAAAAAAAGACAGAAAGCATCATTATTAGTTTCAGCACTTTCTTGTGCCTAAAAAAGGGCAAGGTCTTCATTTTATTCTCAACCTTTTTCAGAGCAGAGGGCAGAAGGTGAAAGTGTACTCTCACCTCAGAACTTAATCCTACAAGCAGGAATACCAAGTCCAAAAAGATTTAAATTGTTTTAAGCTGATGAGTTTTCAGGTTCTAAAAATGGAAATGTCCAGCTTCCATACAACTGATAAAGAATGAAGCTTCTCATTAAATTCAGTTATGTTTTCCAGTATTTTCATAAACTATTTAACCACCATTATGAGGGAATATTTACAAAAGTCTGAAGCATACCACCAATATGTAGATAAGAAACATCATGCCAATTTACTTACACATGGAAACACGTATTCTGCTTTACAAATTACTGCTGACTCAATCTGTCAAAACATGACACTGAAGTGAAAAATTACATGTATCAAAAGAATGAAGTCTACTTTCAGTATTAATGCCACACCATGAAATCCTGAGTACTTCAGCCAACATGCTGAAGTCCTATTAGCTTTCATAAAGCAATTTCTATAAAACCTTCACCTGCAGGAGTATATGAACTCTAGTAAGCTCACCCTTCCTCTCTTCTTTTTAGCCCCTGACAATGAATATACTGTATTTCATATTTCAGAGTAACTATTTCAATACACCTTTACATCTGTGGTTTGTGCATCAAGTATACAAAAATATTAATTCTAGGTCTGGATGCCTCAAAAGTTTCATTGCATCTTTCTTAAAAACCCTGTGATGCACTCTCATTAATATAATTCATATTCTTGGCATGGTCTGAACTTATACCCAGAGACACTGTTCAGACGAGCAAGATTTAGAAGCAGCTAATGTCTGAGAATAAATACAAGAGGAAAAAAACCACCTTACTTTCATACACACTGAAGCTGAAGAGCTGATGACACTAAAACAGAAGGAATGTTTACTAACCCGAGAGTCTGGAAAATTAAACATCTGCAGGTGCATAAGCAGAAATCTAATAAAATGAACGAAACTCCAAGTTATATGGTACCAAAGAGAAGTACTCTGTTAACTAAATAAACAGGGAAGGAAGAAACCCTCTTCCCACACTAACAAAAAGCATGTTTCCTCACTGAATACTAGCGCCAAAAGCCTTCATATTCTAGTGGCTCTTTAACGTAAGGAGTAATTCTTTTCCTTTTGCATATAAAAGTAGAGCTTAATAGATATTCAAAAAGGAATATTTTTTTTCCTTCACAGTGTCCTTAAAAGAAACTCTAATATCCACAAAACATACCTAAGCTGTTCTCCCACATTTTAACATCAAGACCTTTTCTATCTTAATAAACAGGCCACTATCTTCTTGTCTCAGTTTAAAACATGATTAAGGCACGACAATTTGAGAAAAAATAATCCCTAACCTTGCCATCAAGTAAAGGCAACAGGTAGATAAATCCTAAAAAAAATTAAAGAGTGTAAGTTCTAGAACTGCATCATCAGCACTGTCAAATATTAACAATTAATTAATGGTAAATTTATCCAACCTGTATTTTCGGCACTGCATTTTTACCAGTATCAAAGTCACAGGTATACACAAAATTAAAAATATGTGTCAAATTGAAAAGGGGGAGGCTGTACTGTGTATTATAGGCATTGTTGGGTGTCGCCAAGGTTCAGTTGGCCTATGCCCTGCGACAAAACTGCTTCCATGAAGGAAAAAAAAGGCAGGTCATTGTCATAGGAGACTCCCTTCTGAAGGGAACAGAAGGCCCAGTATGCAGACCGGACCCACTTCTTAGGGAAGTCTGCTGCCTCCCTGGGGTCCAGGTTAAAGATGTGAAGAGACAGCTTCCTGCCCTGGTACGGCCCTCAGATTATTATCCATTACTGATTTTTCAGCTAGGCAGCGATGAAGGTGCAACAAGAAGTCTGAGGGCAATCAAGAGCGACTGCAGGACCTTGGGACAACTGGTTAAGGGAGCAGGAGCACAAGTGGCATCTCCTCTCTCCTTCCAGTTGCAGGGAATGATGAGGGCAGAAAGAGGAAGAGCCAGCAGATCAATACCTGGCTCCGAGCCTGGTGTCACCAGCAGCATTTTGGGTTTTTTGATCATGGGTCGGTCTACACAACACCAGGCCTGCTGGCAACAGCCAGGGTACACCTGTCTCAAAGGGGGAAAAAGATCACAAAATGATAGAGATTTTGATTCTTGGAGAAGTAAGGAGGGGGGTCAGCAGAACTGCTACCTTGGACTTTTGAAGGGCAGACTTTGGCCTGTTTAGGCGCCTGGTTGACAGAGTCCCTTGGGAGGCAGTCCTGAAGGGCAGAGGAGTCCAGGAAGGCTGGACATTCTTCAAGAAGGAAATCTTAAAGGCACAGGAACAGGCCCTCCCATTGTGCCGAAAGACGAACTGGCGAGGGAGAAGACTGGCCTGGCTGAACAGAGAGCTTTGGCTGGAACTCAGGAAAAAAAAGGAGAGTTTATGACCTTTGGAAGAAGGGGCAGGCAACTCAGGAGGACTACAAGGATGTTGTGAGGTTATGCAGGGAGGAAATTAGAAGGGCCAAAG